AAGGAACTGTAGGAGGTTTCCTGAAACATACCATCATGTAATTATAGAGGCATGCTTATGGGATCAAATAGTATAAATATAGATGTAATAGAACAATAAAAAAACAAAAACCCAACCATGATGATCAACTGAACGCTGCCTCTATGTCATTCATTCTTCGCTGACTCCGTCCACACCTTTGGGAACCCCTGGACCTGCTGGGGCTGGACCCCAACACCCATGTTAGGAAAGTTTTCTTCTACTCTAACATGGATTATCATGTCTATTTTGTAATTCTTATTTTTTTCTTAAATAAGTTAATATTTATTCTGCTTTGTTCCGCCCCTTTCCCTTGACTTGAGTCTGTTTTAAGAGGCTCTTCCTGAGAAATACCTATAATTATGTTATTAGAGCATCTTTCTATGTTGTTTATCATCTTTTCCCTTTTCCTCTGAATTCTGAGAGAGCTAATCAAATTTGTCCTTCATATTTCTGGTTTATTTCTGATTTAATTTTTGGCAGCTCTAATTCAATTCTTTACTGCTTCTACTGCAGATTTTGATTATGCCTTTTCAGTTTAGGATTTGGAACTTTAAGTTCTTTTTTTCCAACTCACTTTTCATTTGTGACATGTATATCTCTATGTATTTTGTCCTGTGACTTTCTAATTTTGCTTTACAGACACTTAGTTTTAAGCATTTTCTGGGGACAACAGCTTCCATTTTTTAAAATGCTTTTCTTTGTCGACAGACATGCATCACCCTCTCATACACTGCTAGCTCAAGTGGAAAATGGTGCAACATTTTTGGAGAGGAATTTGATAATATCTAACAAAATCACTTATACATTCACCCTTTGACCTAGCAGTCCTACTTCTAGGAATTTAGCCCAATGATACACTTCCACAAAAAGGAAAAACACATGTGCGAGGCTATTTGTTTTGGAATTATTTTTTAATATATTTTATTGATTTTTTACAGAGAGGAAGGGAGAGAGATAGAGTTAGAAACATCGATGAAAGAGAAACATTGATCAGCTGCCTCCTGCACGCCCCCCACTGGGGATGAAAGAGAAACATTGATCAGCTGCCTCCTGCACGCCCCCCACTGGGGATGTGCCCGCAACCC